GAACATTAAATTGACCACTTCTAATGTATTTTTAACCATGAAAACATGACAATGTTAACTTATAAGTAGTTCCCTCTTAAAATTAGGCATCTGCTAAGGTATCTCCAAAAGTCTTATGATGGAAAATGCTATCCACATCCAGAGAAAGAACTATGGAGTTTGAATGCAGATCGAAGCATACTATTTGCTCTTTTTTTTCTTCTGTTTTGTTTTGTTTCCTCTTTCCACATGGTTCCTCCTATTGGTTCTAATTCTTCTTTACAACATGACTAATGTGAAAATATGTTTAATAGGAATGTATATGTATAGCCTATATCAGATTGGGCACCGTCTTAGGGAGGGAAGAGGAGAAATTTAAAACTCAAAAGCTTATGGAAGTGAATGTTGAAGACTAAAAATAAATTATTTAAAAAAATAAAAATTAGGTATCTGTATGGACTATACAGTGCTTAAGAAGTAAGCTTGGTTATCTGTTTTGAGAGCACAGAGCAATAGTTGTGAAGCCAGCGGTAGAGTCAGGCCGGGTCCAGGGGTAGGAGTGAGAAGGGACAGCCATGCCTGGCAAGGGGGAGACAGAAGGTAAGAGCAGATGAGTAACTCTTTTGTACCACACAGCGTGCTTCCAATACTGGGTATTCATGAGATTATCAAGAAAAATGCTGATTGTTGTTTGGTTTCTTCTAGTTAATACTAGAAGGGCCTGGAAATTAAAAATAGCTCAAAAATTGCATCAACTCACAATGCATTTTTAAAAAATCCACTAAAGCAAGGAAAATTGAGATATTAAGATGAAAATTTTTTATTTCTAAAGAAAATCACAATATTTTTGCGTCTATAGACATGCCTGGTTCCTCAGTTGTCAAGAAGGCAAGGATGTTTAGAATGCATGAGGACACTAGAAAGAGCAGGGAGAAAACACTTGCCCAAATTAGAGAAAATAAATGTGGGCTTGCTAATCAGTCAGAAGATGCATAGAAGTACCTACATCCCTTTGCCTCTTAATTAAATTGATTGTGGGGGGGGGGGTAGAGGAAGGTCCTTTGTTAGCCCTTGTTTCTTAGCTCTTTCTTTAACTTGCTTCCAACAACTTCACTTGAGATTTTTCAGAGCGCCTTGTAATGCACTATGTCTTAAGCCTAGCTTAGGGGATGCAGGGCTAGCGAGCCAGGATGCCCCAGAGGTTAAAGGAATCATGCCTTTGCCACCATCTCTCAGGCCACTTAATGGGATTTTGAGTCTTCCGTTGGACCCAGCGAGTCATCCAAAGGGAATGTCTGAGTTTGGACTTGCTGAGACATCTCCCTCCGTGCATGGTTATAATCATGGTTGCTCTCTCCAGGGATAGAGCTAGAGCACAATCAGTCAGTGGGAGAAACACTTCAAACAATGATTATTAATCCAGAATGTGCAGATACGCCCTCTAGATGAGCTGCGGCTTGGTTAGGGGTTTGCCTGAGAGTTCTTCTGCATATAGCCCTGGAGCACAGTTTGTTCTGAACACGTGGCAGAAAACAGACTGAACGTTTCAAAGGGTGATGGTGGCTGGTCTGCAAATGAAAGTCTATAGTATGATTTCATGAATTCATTGAGATGTGGTTTACTCGAGACAAAGCCAGGAGAGGCAAAAGGTTGCTTTTGCCTCTCTGTGAAGAAAGCATTGGCTTAGCTTGCAAGCTTTAAATCAGAAGAAAAAGGGGGTTTTGTTTGACTTTGTTGGAAGAGAGAACAAACTTTTTAATCCCTTGAGCACATTAATTGTTTGTATGTAGATAGATGCCAGAATAGTTCTATCTCTTAATATAGGCCAGGCTGGGCTCCTTTTAGGAGTAGTTGGAGTTAATGTTGGAGCTTTGGAGAAAATCCCACCCTTGCCTCTGCCAAACTAAGCAGAGAAAAGGGCATGTCCGTTCCTAGGTCAGGGGAGCTTGGGAGGATGTTCTGATGTCCCCATATGCCCATGAATCGATGAACTCATTGAAGGGGACGCTGCTCCATCTGCCCCTCCCTTCAGTCCAGCCACACAGTTCTCATCCATGGCCCTTGTAGGCTCCCCAGCAGGAAACTGGGCTGCCCCTCATGTACTGAGGCCTTCCTTGAGCTCTCTTCATGTTGTCCTTACTATGTCACCAGTCCGTTGTTCCAGCCAGATCTTTCTCTGGAGGATGGAGAATAACTAACCTTTCTGTGGGACTTTTTACATGAGAATGAGCCGGAGCACAACCTTGTGAGTTAGTGCTGCTGCTAGCCTTCTGAGATGACCTTCCAGATGTCTAGATGTCTTGTATGGACCTAGTTATTTACATGTTGTCTCTTCCATTTCAGTGGAAGCCCTTTGATGGCAGGGATTGTTTTTGCTCTTCCTTATATCTCTAGTACTTTTCACAACTTTTGGCCCAGGGGTGAGCAACCTATATGTCCTCAAGTGCTGCCCTTTGACTGAATCCAAACTTTACAGAAAAGATCTCCTTAACAAAAGGATGGGTTCTGTAAAACTTGGACTTAGTCCAAAGGCCACACCCGAAGACCTAGAAGACCACATGTGGCCTCCAGGCTGCAGGTTCCCCACCCCTGGAACTGTGGCCCATCATAAATACTTAATAAATGCTCGTTGACTTGATTTGATATATTTGGATAGAGTGAATCTCAGAGGAGATGACAGCAGAGGGAGGATCAGAAAGGGACCCTAGGGAGCAGGGGTATTCTGGCTCGCTAACCGCTGAGTCAGAGTTATGGAGCAGGCTTTTGCAGCAGAGAGCTGCAAGTACTGGGAAGTTTCCTAAATCCAGCATATTATCCATCACTTAAATTCTGGGTTCTGCTTATATGTCTCCACTGCCCATCCAAGGTATCTGTATTGAATAGGCAAAGTGTGTGTGTGTTCAGGGAGGACTGGCACCTCTGGGGTGAGGGCTTGCTGAGCCCTTCTCAGGCTACCCATCCCCCTTTGGTGGTTACCTGGCACTCCAGGCTCACCGTGGCTCCAAGAAGCTTCAGTGGCCGTAGCAGTCGCATCCCAGTAAACCACCTTTACACGTGGGCTAGAACCAGGTCGAGAGTAACCTACAGATCTCAAACCCATCTTTATATTATAAGATTTTCAGAACACAGTCTCAGCTAGGTTGCTTTCATTCAATTGGAAAAAAAAATTTAAGTAACCCTAGCTTAAAGACTTTGAATAAATTTAGTTTGAAGTATTTAAGTTTACTTTAATTTTCTGTGGACAGGAGAGGGCCTCGTTTCATTGGGGTGCTCTCGTGATGGGGAGATCTTCACAGAGCACACAGGTATTGGCAGGCTTTGTGTTCTGTTGAGCTGGGAGCTATGCTGCTGTCCCACCCAAAGTCAGGAGGCATTAATCCATCCACTTGACTAATCCGTGTTGGCATAACTAGGGAATTCCTAGTTACCAGAGTTCAATAAAGCTAGCCCTAGGTTGTCAGGGGTGTTAGTGTGAGCTGGCCCTGGGGTAAAACAGTGATACTTGTGCACAAGACTGAATTGGAAAGGTTTTCTGTAGCATAGTGTACATGTTGCACCAGGTTCTGCAGATGAATGGCAAGTGACCATGGCCCAGGGGGATGGTGGGGTGTTGGGGGTTATCTTTTAAATAGAAACAGTAAGTTGAACTTGTACGGAATCTTACTGGATTGTAAACTCTGAGGGCAAGGCTTGCCTTATTCTCTTCACTTCTGATATAGTGCTTTGCTTGTAGCAGGTGCTTAATAATTTACTTGAATGAATACATTACATTTATATAGTTGTTTACAAAGTATTTTCACATAGTTTATCAGACTTGAGTCTCCTGACAGTGCTGTGAGGTAGACAGGACAGCTATCCCCATTCTGTAACCCAGGGAAACTGACCTGGAAGTAGTTACGTGGTGTGCTCAAGGTTATTTGGTAGTAAATGGTGGCATTAGAATTACAGTGCTCTGTGGATGGTGACAGCTCATTGTATGTCTCTTGTATGACATTGGGCAAAATGATTCACCTCTGTCAGGCCTGTTTTCTTCATCTATAATATGGGGCAGTAGAAGATGTTATAATAACAGATGCTACCTTAGGGTCGTTTTAGCAGTTGTGGTCTGTGATCCCATGAAATCCTGACTGTTCAAAGACCACTTGTGCTATACCTGTGAAGGTTCTCACAAAGCGGGGGGTTTGGTTTTAGAATGTCATATTCAGGTAACAAGGTTTGGAATGAATAGAGTAGGGTAATGGAAATCATTCTGGCCTGAGTGTCACCCAGATTTGAATACCAGTGTTTTGTCTTCTTATGCCTTGTATGTGTGAGCCTGCCTTGGTAATATGTTGACCCCTTTGCCCACTATGCATCTGTCTGTGAACCTGGGCACCACCTGTAATTTGACCTTTTTTTATTTTGATATTGCATAATTCACAGCTGTATAACACCTCACCCCACTCCCCTCCCCTGTGAGGATATAGGTGCTAAACAGATGGGCTTTTATAGTGATGTCATCGAAAGAACGCATGGTTTCTCAGCTGTAATTCCTGTGGTCATTCTGGTCTGGGCTTGTCAGCTTGTCTATTTGCAACCCCCTTCCAGGGTATTTGTACTAACTCGGAATTACCTGCCCACATGCATATCTGCATTCTTCATCCACTTTGTTTTCCACACTAGAAAAACGTGGCTGTATATTTGAGCAAAACAAATCAATACCTTGTCCATGTCTGAAAAGGGATGTCTTAGAAAACAGGGTGATTTTATTACCACCATCTTGAGCTTGATATTCATTTTAAAAAACTACATAACGGAAGTTTGGACTTCCATGGATAATCTTTTTTTGTTCTTTGTATATTGAGATGTTTATATTTGTTGATGATTGTTAAGTTTGTAGTAGAAAAAAAGTCCAAGGCTCATCTCTTGAGTGTATTGTATTGCTGAGGTTCTATGGTATTTTGGGGTCAGCTGTCGTTATTATCATCATTACTATTACTGTTTGTTTTCATATTGATTTGCTTCTGTCTTTCCTTTCTCAGAGTGACCAGCAGTTGGATTGTGCCTTGGACTTAATGAGGCGCCTGCCTCCTCAGCAGATCGAGAAGAACCTCAGTGACTTGATTGACTTGGTAAGTGCCTGGCTTTAGAGCCTTTGGGCTGGCTGGCCAGCCGAGTGTTGTGTGCCTCCGTACCTGTCATTTTACTCCAGGAGCCAGCCTGCTGTTAGCAGGCTGTAACATCCTTCTAATCGGGGGAGGGTGTCTGGGGCTGGGGAGAAGGGGCTTCATAAGGAAGGGTAAGGTCCCTGAGAAGATGGCCAAGCCCAGCAGGAGCTGTCGCGGCAGGTGAGAGCAAAGGTCAGAGGAGATGTTTGACAAGAACCAGCCTGTGCCTGAGCCCGTCAGCAACATGGAGGCCTGGGGGAATCTAGCGGTCAAGCTTAGACTCCCTGCTCAGCTGTTCTGGCTGGGCTTGAAGAATCACGAAGCTGGCCCTCCTGGCTTCCCATCTTTTGGCAACACTGTGCTTGCATTGGCTGTTGTTGAGTGTCTGGCGTGTCCAAAACAATCTCTTGCCCACATGGAGCTTGCAGTCCTCCAGGCAAGACAACTCACCCCTATTACACAGATGAAATCTAAAGGCACATGACCAAATACAACAAGGCAGCAAACTAAGGTAGTCAGTCATTTAACATTCATTAAGCATCTAGATCAGCGGTGGGAAACCTTCGGCCTCAAGGCCACATGTGGCCCTCTAGATGTGCCGGGCACTGTGTTAAGTGCTGGGGATACAAAGAAAAACAAGTGATGCTCCCTGCCTTCAAGGTGCTCCCTGTGTAAGGCAGGAGGCAACATGCGAACTACGTACAGACAAGCTGTACCCAGAATAATTTGGAGATAATCAGCAGGGTGAAAGCACTAGCAGCATTGAGCGAGGCTGGGAGAAGTTTCTTGTGGAAGGTGAGATTTTATCTGGGCCTTGAAAGAAGCCAGAGAATCCAGAAGGGAAAGCGTTCCAGGCATGGGGGGTGGGGGGACAAGCAGGGAAAATGTCTACATCTGGAAATGGATTGTCTTGTTTGAGCCACAGCAGGGAGGCTAGTGTACCTGGATGGAAGAGTACAATGTGCAGGGTAGGGTGTAAGGTGTAGGATGACTAGAAAGGTTGGGGGGAGTCAGCTTAGGAAGGCCTTTGAATGCCAAGCATGGGATTTTATATTTGATCCTGGAGATGATAGAGAGACACTGGAGCTTAGTTGGGGGTTGGGGGGGAATGACATGGTGGGACCTGCTGTTTATCACTTTTATGGTTGATTGGAGGGCGGAGAGATTTGAAGCAGCTAGGACTCCCCCCCCCCCCCAACACACACACACACACACACACACACACA